TTTTTATTGTAATTTATTCTTTTAATATAAAAAAAATTGTATAGTTTTGACTTAACGATGAATATCAGAGATAAATTCAATAATTTTGAGAATGTTTGCAACTTCAGCGGGCTGATAGGATTGTAGTCAAATACATAAATAAAATAATGAATGAATTCAGCACAATAATAATTTTGTCCTCCACAATTTTTTATTTAAAAAAAAAGTGGAGACAATAAAAGTTCAACAAAAAATTTAAAAAAAGGAGGTTGGGCCAGCCACCACTTAGCCCATCATGCCTTTTGCTTTTGGTCAGAAGCCCATCATGTTTTTGACCATCGCTCGCGGAATTCTAATCCTCATAAACATTTGATTCTTGATTGTACGTGTCATTTTCATCCGCTTTTGGGAAAAATAGAAATTTAGAGTATCAAGAACACGACTTGATAAATTAAATATCATAATATAATTAGTTGAAGTTTTTTGTTCTTCAAATTTCAACCAATTGTATTACTACATTTGATGTACCGGACTATATGACTGACATATTGAAAAATCTTTCCGGCTTTTGGGTCATGTTGAACACAACCTTATTTGTTCCTAACTGGCTGATACAAACACGACGGTAATGAATACCCACGAAATTAGCGAATAACACATACGACCTATTTCACTTATCAGGAATTATACTCTATCTAAATCATGCATATTAGTACATGTGTACTGTCGTTGATAAATATATACTTATACAACATGAATGAATTGGTCCATCACGTGAGAGCGCACAAAATTTCTCCCATTAATCCATATCTAACCTCTCCTTGTTACCCACCCACTCTCAAATATCATGTTACCTCAAGCAATCATCTTGCCACCTAAGAAAAATCATCGGAGTTAATTTAGGCATAAGATTAAGAAAGGTTCTAATCCAAATTAATTTGTTTAATGGTCATAAGGGCAACTATCTAAGCTTGAGTCGAGTCCATGAAATTAGTCTATCTCTAATGAAGAGGGTTAAAGTTCTAAAAGCCAAAAAATAATATGATTTGTTCAAAAACTCATCAGACCATTATTTGGCCGAATGAGCATCTGGCTGACTAAATGTTAGTCCCCCCTTTAACCTTTTTTTTTGGCACAGCTCATCAATTTGAAAACATATAACAGTAGTTTAATTAAATTAACTAATAAATTATTGAAGATGCTATGTTTAGCCCTTGCGGTTGGAGATATCATATGACTATGACATGACATTGTTTATTTAAAAATAATAATTTGTAGATCTATAATTCTGAACGGGACTATATTTAGCTATTTCAATTGCGATGACCTTATAGGCCACTTCCTTCTCCATGTGTCCAAACAGCTCCCTTGGAAGCTTTGTTGTGATGATGACGTGGCACTTGTCCAAAACAGCTCCTTTCGACCCAAAAACTTACTCAGATCCCTTCCCCAACCACAACATGTTGATGCTTATAAGAATTGGGAGTTAAGGATAAGGACAGATGTCGCCAAATGAAGGCAATCACAGGGTTGGCAGAGGAAAATTCGGCACAGCAGATCTGAACTCAGGTTCGATGGTCCCTGCCCCTCGTAACCTATGGACACGTCGTCGTACTGGTTGATCGAACACAGGATAATATTCATTGAACATTGGTAAAGTCAATCAAGATATTCGTAACCTATGGACACGTCGTCGTACTGGTTGATCTAACAGAGGACAATATTTATTGAAAATTGGTAAAGTTAATCAAGATATTTATTTTGTGATGAATCATGCTAAAACTAAAGTTTTTTTTCTTTTTAAATTGAAGAAGGATTATACGAAAAAGTTAGGCATTGATATGTTTGATGTTGATGCTCAAATTTCCGATTTTCACCATTCTTGTGGAAATCTTTTTTTTTTTTTTTTTTTTTTTTAAGCATATGAAGGGTTAAAAGGCTTAGTTCCACCCCCCCCCTGTTTTTTTTTTTTTTTGGTTCATGATTGTCTTGGAGTTTCCAATCCCACAAACAAGTCAATTGTTCAAATAACAATACTTGACTACTCAAAGATGAGTATGAACTCCTATTCAAAAGTTCTCAAAATTGTTCGTTATTAATTTATAGAACTTCGTGTTTATAATAAGAACCGTTCATATTATAAATCACCTTATAAAGATCACCTGTGCAAAAAATCGATTAAAACTATGGTCGTTTAGTCATCAAACTGTTTAAAAACAAATTAACGGAATTAGGAAAAGCATTATGAACTATTTATGTATTTGCTACAATAGATTGACTAACTGACTTTAGTTTTAATTTATTTTTTGCAGAGATAATCTTTACAGTATTATTCATAGTATGAACGGTTATAATCATAAGCACAAAACTCTGTGATGAAAACACTAAGAATTTTGAGTAGGAGTTTCTACTCATCTTTAAGTAGCTAAATATTGTTCTTATTTAGAGATATGGACTAATGGTCTTATCAACAAATGAATAAGGATCATTATTCAACAAATTGTCCTTCCAAACTTTGCATTGGACTTTAGAGATTGCATAACTTGATTATCATCCAAAGGAGAAGATTTTATCAACATTGCAAGTAGGGATGGCAACGGTTTGGTTTGAGGACAGAAATGCTATATCCATCCACATAACCACGAAAATTAATCATATCCATAACCGCAAATTAACCATCGGGTATGATCCATAACCATACCCATCGGGTAACGGATTCCCCATCGATTAATGGGTATATCTATCTTCGTCAATACAAAAAATATATTAGTTCAGTTAAGACATTATAAGTTAGTACATATTAATTTCGTCATTAAATATTTGATGTATAAAATGATCTAATGAATGGATCTTGTTGAGTATAAAAATTAAAACGCTGATAATGTTGGCTTGTATTTGATATCTCACATAAGCACCATTGAGTTCAAATTGATTTTGATTCGAAAATTTACTTTCCTACAAAATGCAACTTTTGCATTCTCAAGGTAATGGTTCGGTGAACAATGGATATACAAATACATACATACATACATACATATATATATATTATACTATTATATTATATATAAATTATATTATTTACTAATCGGGTCGGATTTGGTTATGGATACAGTTTGGGACCTCTATAACCATATCCAAAACCATAACCGAATAATATAAACGGTTTTTTCCCATATCCAGAATAAACCCAAACTTCCATGCCCAAATCCATTCCATTCGGACGGTTATTCACAGTTATCGGGTTTAACAGTTAGAATTGTTATCCCTAATTGCAGGTAATATAGCTATTGTATTGTTCGATAGCTAAAAATCATGTACTCGTGCCTGTTTCATTTTTACCCATATAGGTCGCCCATTTAACAACTTTTGAAGAACTCAATTGTGTAAGTGGCCCTTTACCACAATAGTGAAAAGGAGTTAAGCCCTTGCATGAAAATGTGGGTTCGAACCACGTTGGTAAGTAATCTAACATCTAATTTAACAAACTTTATCGTATGACAAAAAAAAAAAAAAATCAATTGTATGTCTCATGATATTTCTCTTTACTTCTAAGAAGTCTCAACCCTGAAGTTTGAGTTATAAGAAGTCTCAGCTCTGGAGTTTGATTCACATTACTCAATATATTTATATTTAGTGTGATACTAGTTAGTACATTAAATCGTTTTTATAAAAACAAAAATCAAGAAAAGGGTTGGTTAATAACTCCTAAACCACACATATGGTATTGATGATTCCATATCAGCTAGGGTGGGATTGAATTTTATTTGGGGCATGCGCACTTGTAACGTGTGCGTCAATATAGTGAATGGGTCCTAAAAGAGTTACAATCTTTGATACAATATAACCTTGTTTAATGGGTGCTGAATGTGTATTTCATTGTGTATGTCAAGCAATCAATCACCAATCATAAACATGCAGAAATAAAGATAGGTCTCAAAAGAGTCAAAATAATGCCAGCTCCAACTGACGCAACCATTCAACCACGGTGCCAACCTACGACCATCATGCCTATAACTACGGAACATTTCTTTTTATTCATAAAAAATATTATTCTTATATCTATTTATATCATTTTTTATATAATCTTTTTAATAAAAACAAGATTCACATGTGTCGGTATGCTCCACTTAGATTACAGAATCAGACAAATAATAATATAAATAGATATCAAATATAGCATTACCCTTTATTTATAACATTCATTTCTTTCCATACTAAATTGCCGCATAAAAATTAATTAATTAATAGTAGTAATCCATGTTATGTTAATACAGTAAAACCTTAAAATTAAAAAAATAGCATTATTCTTTATTTATATAATTCGTTTCTTTCCATTTTAATTCAGTGAAACCATAAAATTCAAATTTGTGGAGATTTTGCATGTTTCCCTTTCCAGTTGTTACTTTGTATAGTAAAACAATTTAAGACAGAAAAATCACAGTAAATATGAATTCTATATTTCACTTTCGCAAGAAGATAAGCATGCCAACGTATTTCCTACCAAAAAGGTATTTTAATTATTTTTTCCAATTTTAATATTTTTCTCAGGGAAGAATAATCAACACCGTAATAATACAAAAACGTGTGTAATAATATTACGCACCACAATATTTTTCTTGATCCAGCTGTCGACATACAGAGCGCACGTGTAAGACGACAGCTGACGTGTACACCCCGACGCACCGTATCATGTCGGCTATTGACCCGCCGAATAAACTCGGATCCCTAGGGAGAACCCGACCCGGACCGACTCACACACCCGTCCAAAAGAGGTGGCGTAAGCAGTGACAACATCGCACCCATAAGTTTCTATTGCCGACGCACCGCACTTCCATGGCCGACACGTGTCCGACTGCGGTCAGCATAACGCCCCATAAACCAGTCCGCACGGACTGCTCAAGAAACGTTATCGCCCACGTGTCCCTCCCTTCCCCTCCCCCCCCCATCCTATATATTCAGTTCTCTCCCTTACGTTTCAAGTTTCAAGTGCCGACTAGCTTGCTTCGCACAGAGGGCGAGTGAAATAACGACTGCGAGAGCGAGATAGAGAGAGTGCAAACGACACCCATTGAAATGTCGTCCGCCGATTTACAGCTTCCACCGGGGTTCAGGTTCCACCCGACGGACGAGGAGCTGGTGAAACACTACCTCTGCCGGAAATGCGCGTCGCAGCCGATATCAGTTCCGATCATTGCCGAAATCGATCTCTACAAATACGACCCCTGGGAGCTCCCAGGTAAATTTCCCTAAATTCTAGCGATTATTTTTCCATTTTTTTTTAGTTTCCTGGGAATTCGAATTTTTTTTAATATTATTTATTTACTCAAGTAATTTTTGTGTTGCAGGCTTGGCGTTGTACGGGGAAAAGGAGTGGTATTTCTTTTCGCCAAGGGACCGGAAGTACCCGAACGGTTCGAGGCCGAACCGGGCGGCCGGAAGCGGCTACTGGAAGGCGACCGGGGCCGATAAGCCGATTGGGCATCCGAAACCTGTGGGGATTAAGAAAGCTCTGGTGTTCTATGCTGGAAAAGCCCCTCGCGGCGAAAAGACCAACTGGATTATGCACGAATACCGCCTCGCCGACGTTGACCGCTCGCCGAGGAAGAAGAACAGCCTCAGGGTATACACGCTATTCTCTCTCTCTTTCCACGTTAGGGGTTGGGGTAAAATCGTAAATTCCTAACTTCGTTGCATGACGATGACGACGACGGTTCTCTTGACACGACGTCGTTCAAATCGTATTTTGACCTAAATGATATTCCCCAAATGCCGAATGCCCCATCGGGGTGGGGTCCCATTTCTTTCAATGAATTGGCGGCCATATAAAAGGACGGTAGATATTGAGCCTAATTTAGATCAACGGTGTGACCAAGATTTCCAATTTTGGAACTTTATTGTGACGCCGACGGAAGCGTATTAGTGGTAGCTAAAGGATAAGACTTGATATTAATAGGGGGATTCTATTTGTGGGTAGGATTTATTTAAGTAGGTTAATTAACTTAATTTAATTAATTTTAATTAGGTAAATTAACTTAATTTAATTAATTAGCAAGTTGATTAACAATTGTTTTGGATATTGATGGACGGTCTGATTTTACAGCTGGATGATTGGGTTCTGTGCCGAATATACAACAAGAAGGGGACCGTGGAGAACCAGCAGCCTCAGCAGCAACAAGAACAACAGCGAACGGCTAGCCGTAACGCGAGCAGTGGCTCGGAGTTCGAGGACAGGAAGCCGGATAATCTGAGGTGCCCGCCGCCGCCGGCTTCGGTGGTCCCCAGTCGTCACGCGAGCGATTACGTGTACTTCGACAATTCTGACTCGGTGCCGAAGCTGCACACGGACTCGAGCTGCTCGGAGCAGGTGGTGTCGCCGGAGTTGGCGTGCGAGGTGCAGAGCGAGCCCAAGTGGAAGGAGTGGGAGAAGGCGCTGGAAATCCCGTACAGTTACATGGATACGACGGTGGAGAACGGGTTCGGAGCGCAGTTCCAGAGCGGGAATGAGATGTCGCCGCTGCAGGATATCTTTATGTACCTGCAGAAGCCGTACTGATTTTGGATCGGGTGTGGTGGGGAGTAGGTTCAAGCGTATTTAGAGTCGGTGCATGGGACGGCAACAGGAGACGGAAGTCGATGAGAGTGCGTTTGTGCGTCGACGGATCTGGAAAGGGGAAAGGGGAAAGGGGAATGGGGAATGGGATTGGGATTTCAGTTGTTGGGGTCCAGTATTTTGGGTTCCAAGAGTGAATTAGGAGGTTTTGAGACTTTTGAGTCGTAAAATATGTACGAGATGTGTGTATATATAGGTTATGTATATCGTTCACAGGGTCTTACTATTTGTTTGTAATTCAGTTCATGGTGGTAGTAGTGAATAATGTGTTTTTGTGTTTCTATCGTGTGCTTAACTAGTGATATTCATAGTTTTTATTTTTTCATTAAAAGAATTGTATTATTAATTCAAACACCGCCGTTGATTAATTTAACCTTAAATTTAGTAAATTCTGTCATTTGACAACAAAAAAATACGAACAGAAGCATTTGTAACTTAGGCTAGAATATTAAACATAAATTTAGGTCATAATTCATCTCAACCAAAACTTTCGCTCAACCAAATCTTCCGTCATGAACGCACGCAGTATGGACCAAATTAGTGATATTCAAGGGGAGAAGGTTGTAAATTTAGGTTGTGGTCTTTGAAAAAAGGTGGATGGCTAATGTCAATGACTTGAATTTGTGTATGTTGACTCACCAACTTTCCAATTCTTGGATTCATCTAAATCGACAAGCTTTAAGTTGTGGTGTTTTGGGTCATATCACAATACCACAGTTGGCAAGTAAACAAGTGAAATTTCACCTCTATCTTCATAAAACAAAGAGATATAAACACGTGAGATTTAAAACAAGATGAATTATATATATTTATCACTTTTATCTACATCGTTATAATCTCAGAGCATTGTAGTCATGTTCACTTTGTGTGGGAATAATGGACACATAAAGATGGTCTAATCATTTCAAGATGCAAGCGAATTATTTCAAGATACATTATTAGGATAATTATTTCAAGATGCAAGCGAATCATACAAACATTGTCCTGATGTAGCAAAGTTGTTGTCATTCATATTTGGTTCTCTATAAATGTGGTGAGACGTGATCTCCAAAACCTTATAACAAACGAGTCTTATCACATTAAGTCAGGTTGACTATATTAAATCATACAACGTTATTGTGCTCATTTTTGCGCTAAGTTTTCTATTAACTCCAAGTACTCTATATTTTTTCTTATTGTCTCTTTCAAAGTCTTCATATGTCTTCCTCTATCCCTTTTGCCCTGAGCTTTCGTATCATTGTCGCATCTTCTAACCGGAGCATCACTAAGTCTTCGGTTCTCTTGTTCAATCTATCTCGATTTTCTCTCATCTTATCTTCAATTGCGACCACTTATTTTACCTCGGATATACTCGTTCTTAATCCTACATTTTCTCGTGTGCCCACACATTGAACGAATCTCGTGTGCCTACACATTCAACGAAACATTCTCATCTCTGCTACACTAATTTTTGCACGCGTTGCTTTTTGACCGCTCAACATTTTGCGCCATAAAACATCACTGGGCTTATTGTCCTAATAAAATTTTTTCTTGAGCTTTAGTGGCATACGACGATACATTCTTCCACTTCATCTAACCAGCTTGTATTATGTGGTTGAAAGCTCCATCTAATTCTCTGTTATTTTGCAAGATAGAAAACGTTCACCCTTTTTACTTCCTGGTCTCCAATCCTCACCCCTAACTTGCAATTCATATATTTTATTTTTAACCAACTTAGGTGAAGCTCATTAGCTTCTAACACTTCCTACCAAAATATCGATGAAAATCTTGAAGCCTTTTTTCCCCGATTTCAGTAAACGTGCTATAATTTGAGAAAAGCTTGTAATACTATGGCGTTTTATAATCACATGGATTATTTTTAGTTCAACTCTTGAAATATTGTTTTATATTAAGTCAAATCATAATTGCATATAGCTCATTATCTTGAATGGAGATACTTCTCGTGTCAAGAATCTACTGGGTCTGGCAGGCCATGGGCTTGTGCCTCATCGGCCTCAATTTGGTCTTGCCTCATAGTCTAAGTTGACAATAAATTTCATGATACGAATATATTTATGTAGTGATGTTTTGTGCTAATAATATAATATTATATACAATTTCTTTTCACGTGACATTGTATATTGGCAAAAAAAAAAAACATTTAAAATACTGTCTGGGCCCAAAATAATATTTTGGGCCGAGCCTAGAGTTGTTCTCGGCCCAGTAACATTCATCTAGAATCTTATAATGGGCTGTCCAGTCAAGGTTGGTCGAAACCTGTTGCTAGGAGGATTGGTTTAGATAAGGGTGAGGTAGTCGAACCCTAGTGCAACAAGGAGTCTTAAAGCTGAAGATGCTTAGAATTGGTTCGTTAAGGAGTTTGGTTCAAAGTCCTATAGGGGTTAGGATTGGCCGAAACCTGATCAGATTGGGTTGATGAGTTCTAATCCGAATACATTTCTAGTGAAGGAAGATTTGTGAAAAACAAGTTCATTTGAGCAACATCAACAACATGCAATTAACAATTAAAAGGCGGAATCATGTTTATATGCACTCAAAAACAAAACTTAACCCATGAACTTCAAAACCTAGTAGATAGGTGAACCAAGACTCAACTCAAAACAAAGTGAGTTGAGAAATCAATACCTTTGTAGATTCCTCTTTGCATAAGCAAAGGCTAATCACCCAAAGAGAGGGCCTTCATTCCTTGCATCTTAGATCCATGGATTTGGATGGATGAAAAGGTTTCTCCAAGTTCCCAAAATTGAGAACCTCTAAGTCTCCACACCAAGGCATATTGTAGAAGAAATGAGTGACCTTGAGGAAGTAAGATTGCTAGATGTTTTCCTCAAGGGTGGCCGGCCATTTCTAGAGAGAAAGGAGAGTTTGTGTTCTCATCTTTACTCCTTAGAAAACCCTAAGGATGAAATGGCTATAAAGATGTCTTTATACCACCTCACAATGGAGTGGCAAACTTGCAATTAAGCCAAGTTCACTACCCTCCTCTAAATGGCCGGCCATATGAGATTTATTGGGCTATTTGGGCCTTTGTGAATCATTATTCATTAAGTTGTCATACAACTTAAGTCAATGGACTTGACGTTCGAAGCCCATTGGGCCTTAAGGTCCAAAACTATCCCGAGGTCTTTTAACGAACTTATTCGTTTGATTAATAATCATATTAATTAATCCTTGCCATAAACAATTAAACCATTTAATTATTCTTACTCATCTCCGTTGAATCTTCAATCTCTACCTTACACGGTGTACGATCCATTAGGTTCCTTTTAGTGAGGCAGTGGGCGATTCAAACTCTTTCAAATCGATTGTGAATTGAAACTTACTTTCAATTCTCCCGTTAGTGATAATACACTTTTAGGGCTTCCACAAACCATGGTTGACGCCTAGCAGCATGTCATGGTTACCCAAGCTAATTAGAGGAGGTGGAGAACCTATTCAGTTTTAGGATTACAAATGCAATACGGTCTTTCTCTAATACAATACTCTTGACCACATTGTTTGGTTTGATAGTTTATTCATGTCTACTATCTAATGTGAGTCTTGTGCTTATATGATTACCTTGAATGTGATTTGGAACACATTCCTAAATCTCATTCATACTTTGGCCAAAGATTCTTAATCATATCATAGAGTATTCTCCCTCAAACAGTTTGAAGGTTAGAGATCCCTTGTTGCGCATTCACTTGCCTCCATGGCTAAGTGGCTTAACCCCAACGATGCCGTGGACACCCTCCTGATGGAGTGACTTTGACATAATCAAAGATTAAGGACCTAACCACAAGACAACTGTGATGCCTCAGGTCAAAAGACTAATTTGCATTATCCCAACCATGAGTTCTCATGTGACATGAATATGAGAACTCTTCGTTGATCGTGTTCAGTGAACTCATTCTCTATTGAGCACCTACGTACTTGTCTTGATGTCACACACACCAATGACTCGAGACTAGTCACTCTCCCTGAGAGAAGACATAGCACGTACTGATCTTAACGGACTGTCAATGCCCAATTGACAATCCTATGATCAGGAACGGTTAGGATGTGTCAACGAAAGAATGGTCTCATGAATCTAACTTCTTTAGATCGCATTCTTCCAATCACATATTCCTTGGACTTATCGTTTAAGCATATAACATTTATATGAGACGGCTCAAACAATAATCTTTGCCCTTTACATTTAAACTACATTAGTTTGAAATGTCCGTAAAGTATCATCATCTGATTGGTTTTAGGGCACATTTCCAACATCTAGTTCGGCCATGAAGGGGGTTCGCTGCTATAAATAGAGAAGAGAGTGCATCATTCAAGGCCTCTTCAAATCAACACACAAACTGCCATGCGCAAAGCTTCTCAACAACCTTGAGATTTTTTCATCTTCCTTTTTCTTCCTGCCAACACATCTTCAGTTTGGATAAACAGCATTGTGAAGGCAACTGATGACATCTTCAGTTTTGATAAACAGCATTGGAGCCGTAGAATCAGCCGATCGAGGAGCACCTTCAGTTAGGATAAACAACACTGCTTCGAGACCTACCGGTTATTATCCAAGTCTCAGTCGACAAGGATTTCCGAGTCCTTTTTGGTAGAGGTCATCTCATCAGCTTTCTCGGCGAAGTGAGGTGTTACCAGGTTACTAGGCTTGGCACATTGAAAGCCGAGTTTTATTTTATGATTGGATATTCACAAGCACATTTTAGAGTTCGGCATTCTGACAGCCGAACAACTTTTACAATCAAGACATGTATCTCTTTTGAGTATTTGTGTCCGTACAGTTTGATGCCAGTTCAGTATATTTATACTCTCCCGAATATAATTACTGAGACCGAACCCAGCCCCGACGATTTGTGAACTTCGAAGAGATTAGTAGCCTTGTCTTCAGGCTCTAGAACCCATAGGCCGAGACGTGTTCCTTCCTCATCTGCAGTCGCAAGATCAAGAAGTCAGTAGCGCGCTTGACACTACATCAACATATTTTACTCCTTGGCCGAACTCGACCGACGAGTTGGCACGCCTTGTACATAATCGAATGAAGTAGCCAGCTTATTAGTTACTCGGTATGCGCGCCACGTAGGCTTGATAGTTTTTAGGGTCAACATTTTGGCACGTCTAGTGGGACCCAGTTCTAAAACTACGAAGTTCATGACGATTGAAACACAGTCAGTAAAAAAGAAAACAGTCATGGGTAAGTCAATGACTAATCTTCCACCTACAGTCCAAAGTCCAGGACAAGATGGCTTGTCACAGGCATATAATTCTCCTACTGCCATAACACCTGAAGCCACA